TATTCAGTAACTTTTATTACTCAGTAACTTTTTATTACTCAGTATTACTCAGTAACTTTTTGATACTCAGTAACTTTTTTGCTATTCAGTAACTTTTTGATACTCAGTAACTTTTTGATACTCAGTAACTTTTTGATACTCAGTAACTTTTTGATACTCAGTAACTTGTTGATACTCAGTAACTTGTTGATACTCAGTAACTTTTTGGCTAAATTATGTACCCCCTAGATAAAGAACGAATTAATCTTCAATGAATATTTTAAGACTTTTTGTAAAATGTAAACTTTCATTTTGACTGGCTATTTTTTTTCAAATATATGGATTTTCTTTTTTAAAAAAAAGAAATCATACGCCATCATCATCCGTTATCTTCATCCGTCATCATTGAAAAGAAAGATTTACATCATATAGCCAAGGATGGAATTCAGAATGAAATATCCAAGGATGGATAAAAGAAAAACTTTGTGTGATTTGATTACTCATATAAACTTTAATTGAATAACCTTGAATTAAAAAGAAAAAAAAAAAAAAAGCCTTAAAAAAAATTGAACAACCTTGAATTGAAAATTGAACAACATTTAATTGAACAACATTTAATTGATTACATTTAATTGATTACATTTAATTGATTACATACAAGCTTCAAACTCCTTAAATATTTCATGCAATGTCAAATAACGACTGGGAGATTGTCACGTTGAAGATCAAAAAGATGATCGAAACTAATATAACAGTATAATGGATCAACGATTTAGTATAAGCTTAAAACTAGGTTTTGAGTAATAGTTATGTAGAATGACATAAGATCTACTAATAGGTAACGGGATAACCAGGAAAAGGGTGTATTATGTAAACTAGAAAGATATTCTGATGATTAAAATGATTTTTTTTGTAATCATTTGATCCGATGATAAATTTAAAAAAGTCTTTCTAGAAATGATAATATATATAGTACGTTATTTTAATACACAGATTACGTCATTATTTTCGGAGTAAATGCTAAAATAAAATTATCATTATCTAATTATCTAAAATAAATTCATATTTAAAATTATTTCGAAGATTAATAACGTGATATACTCTTAGAAAATGGATGTCTATTTTTAGTTCAATTTCATCATTATAATAACTAAATTGTACATTCCTATCGGTCGGTGTACGGATAGTACTATAGTGACTATGTCACCGAATAATACTATCGAATAACATTAAATACCACTAAATAACACTAAAATAACACTAAATAACACTAAAATAACACTAAATAACACTAAAATAACACTAAATAATACTAAATAGCACAGGATATCGCAAGATTTTTATTATATCATCCTTTTTTAAGCCATATTTATTAATTAGAGTTGTTCAGTTTGGATAATTATAAATTGTTTAGGTGTACGTAACACTCCACTGGATACTTGGAATGTATAGAGTACAACACTGCCGATAAATTATACGTACCGAAAATCACTTTTTTGGTAGTATGATTGTCAGAGAACATGACCCAAATCCCCGATATTTGTGCACATGACCCGAATCCTCGATATTACATGTCAGGGTACTACGTAATAAACCTCCCTTAACATAAATGCATTCATTATGTATCGGTATGCCCTTTCAAAATGCACGCTTTAACTCTGTATTTATTTACGTATAAGCTTCTCTGTATTTATTTATGTATAAGCTTCTCTGTATTTATTTACGTATAAGCTTCTTTGTATTTATTTACATATAAAGCTTTGTATTTATTTACGTATAAGCTTCTAAAGAATCACTCTCTATGAATGCACACCCATGCTTGACTGGTCATATGGTCTTAAGGGAGTGCGTTAAGAGGTTTAGAAAATGAACAAAGTAAAATATATGCTTCGAATATATTCTTGAATATTGTATGATTTTAATTGTATGATTTTAAGTAAATCACGTTTATAGCATTCTCGGTTTAAAAATTCATTTTATATTTTTTGTGATTTACAGTATACGTAACAACTCTTTTCATTATCATTACGAATAAAAAAAATTGCCCTTTTAATCTGGAGCACTTTAGTCCTTATCAATTTGTGCTGGTATCCATTTGTATTAGTAATGTTAGTAATACAAAAAGTTACAAAGTTTTAAGGAAATGACTAATCAATGTATTTTATCGTACGATAGATCAAAGACTAATATTAAGTGTAATACAGTCAACTCCTTTTAGGTTTTTTAGATTGTTAATAGAGTATTTCGGATTATAATAAAGCATATGACCCGCTTCTGGAGTGCTTTGGAGTGGGTTATATGTTTAACAACCCCACTCTTTCTGTACTGAAATTTTTATAATTTTGAGTTCGTTATACGTATACTGTATATACTGTATATATAGGGGGTTCATTATACCCAGAGTTCTGTATAGTTTGTTCCTACGTATACGTACAGTACGTACGTACGTTACGTACGTTGCGTACGTTGCGTAGCTGTTTTTAATTTCTTTTTTTGTCAATTTTTTTTGGTTTCTATGATTCTAAATACGTATTTACATTTAGAAATTAGAAATTCTGGAATTTTTTTTTCTCCTTTTTGTATAACCGACATGAAAAATCCCAACTCTTGGTACATTTTTGTCCAACGATAATCACAATCACGGACCAGGAATAACCAATGCAAACTGAACAATGGTGTTGGCGTAGATATGTGTACGAGGTTGATATCTTCAGCAAATAAGAAACTAGTTCTTGTTAATGAGAACTGAAAATCAGGCCATGTTTTTTGTTTTCTCCTCAAATAATTTAGTCATCTGTTATGGGTTGTACTTCTACGTACATAGCGTTTTAACGAATCGTAATGAGTAATATTAAAAATTTTACAAAATAAGAAATGAATATGTGATTTCACACATTGTTTTTTTATTTTTTAAGTTTAAAAATGTACACGCATAATCATGTGATTCATAACATTACGTACCTCGAAAAACGTCAATTTTTTTTGACACAATTTTCTTTGACACTTTGATTTCGTTTTCATTTTTATTTCACATTTCATTTTCTTGTTTCGACACTTGGATTTCGTTTTCGTTTCACATTTCATTTTCTTGTTTCGACACTTTGATTTCGCACATTTCACATTTCATTCACTTTTCACAACATTTATCACTTGAAAATCAATCAAAAAGATATCAAAAAGATTTCGCACATTTCATAACATTTATCACTTGAAAATCAATCAAAAAGATTTAATATATTTTTTAAAAAATTTTTTTCAATCTTTATTGAAATCAATTTTTTCAAATTTTTTTATTTCTTTTTAAAAAAATTTGCATTTTCAATTCTTTTTACAAACAAAGTTTTTTCAAAAAAAAAACGATAATTATGCTAAAAAAAAAAAAAAAGAGAAAAGAAGAAATAATTATAATCAAAAAAGAAGTATAAAAAAAAAAAAAACAAACAAAAAAGACAATATATATATATATATAAAAAGTAAATTAAAATGGTGGATGAGCGAAAGAGAAAAGAAGATAACCGATTTTTTTTTTTTTTTGTTAAAATAATTTTTAAAAAAATAAGAGAAATAATAGTAGTGGTAGTAATACTAATAGGTAGAAAAGACTTTTTTTTTTTTTTTTTTTTTTTTTTTTTTTTCCCCGAGCGATCGTAATATTTATATAAATCTTTTTTATAATTCATAATTAAGGTTATAATAGTATCATAAAAATATATAATTTTTTAATAAAAGATGCATATTTTTTCAAAGGCATAAAATATTTTTTTTTCCGACCATATTTAAAGCTTAAAAGTTTTGAATTGTTTTTGAGTTAAGAGTTAATTTTTTTGAGGCAAAATTTGAAAGATTCGGTTATCATCTAAAACCGAGCATGGTAGCCAGCCACCATAATCGAAAATTAGAGCGTTGGGGTAATTATATTAAGAATAAGTGAGTAATAAGCTAATATAGGTATGTATATAAGTAAGTAATAATTTTTAATACGTAATTTTTTGCCGTGATCGCAATAAATACTAATAAGCATAAATTGGGAATCACGATAAAATTGTGTCAAAAAAAAGAAAAAAAAGATAAAAAGTTGATATTGCGTTTGGCATTGTTGATGTGATGGTGGATGAATTTTGATGAATGAGTAAAGAATGCAAAGAAAGCAACTTCTTTGAAATTTTTAGCGACTTAAAGCATCCGAATTCAAAGCATAAGTCAATGTAACTCCACGTCGTCTTTGGATAAGATCGTCAAACGCCTCCATTTTTTCCTGATATTCCTTTCTCTTTGCGGCTAATAATTTTTGCCTTCCGTTTTCATGAACGTTAGAAAAGGAATAACGTCTCTGAACTGAGCCAGGCCTTTCATAATGAAAAGGCTCGCTTGAATTGTTTGAATTGATTGAATTGTTTGAACTTTTTGTAGGAGGACGTTGGTTAGAAAGATCCAAGGCAACGAAAGAAGTAGCAAAACTATCATTCTCATGGGGTGAAACCGACGATGAGTTTTTCTTATTTCCAGCCGGGTGAAAAATTTTATTTAAAAATTTCTTGGTGGATTTGTTTTTCAAATGGTCCATGTTCCTTTTTGTAATATTTTTTCTTGTGTGTGTGTGTCGTTTCGTTTACGTAAATAAAATGCGCAAAAAAAAAAAAAAAAAAAAAAATGTTGAAAGTTGGATTTGATTTAAACCGTTGTCGCTTTTTTTTGTTGAAGTTATCGAATATGATTAAAGATGAAGAATGGTTTTGGTCGTAAGGGATGATTTTTAGTTTGAATGTTGTTCGTTACAAAAAAAAAAGATTGATAAAAGACAGGAACCCAAAGGTAAGTCTTAATGCTAGTAGCTAAGCTAAGGAAAAAAAATAATCGAGAATTTGATGGTTGTGAGGAGAGGTGAGGAGATGAGGTGATTAAATATTTTTTTGAAATCGAATATTTAAAAGTAATTAGCTACAACATTTCTTGAAAAAAGAGGGATGGACCTTAATTTATAAAAAAATTTTATAAACATTATAATATATTTATACGTATAATTATGTACGATTTATTGTAATTATATATATGTAGATGTAATATATGTATCTGTAATTTATTTATTTATATATTTATATATTTATATAATATATATATATATATTATATATTAAATATATAATTTTATAAATTTTATACTAATCAATATAAATAAAAAAATTTTTTTTTATATTATACTACATTATAGTAATATGAGTAATAGTAATATGAGTAATATCAATAACGTAATAGGCGCACTTAAAAACCTCCCTTTTTTTCATATCGAAAACCGAAAAAAAAAGAACATAGAACATATGACTACAAGAAAACAAACAATATAGATAATATTGTACGTTCGTTTATTAGTACTCATTAGTTTCATTGGCTCCATTAGTTCTATTTTCATTAGTTTTCATAAGTTTTCATTAGTTTTCATTAGTTTTCATTAGTTTTCGTTAGTTTTCATTAGTTTTCGTTAGTTTCATTAGTTTCATTAGCTTTCACTAGTTTCATTAGTTTCATCAGTTTCATCAGTTGAGAGTTATCTATCTAGTTATATTGTTTTATATTGTTTTATATAGTCTTATATAGTCTTATATAGTCTTATATAGTTTTATATAGTTTTATATAGTCATATAATATTTATAGCATCTTAATCATTAAATACACGTGTGGAAATAACGCATATACTTTTTTTTAAACCAAATTCTAGGGTAAATATCAATAATTAAACTATTCGTTATTTCATTATTATTATGATAATTTTGATTATACGTAATTATTACAGTATTACGTATTATAATTTATTATTGTAAAATATCATTGTGAAAAAAGCATTCAGTTCAAAAAAAATTTTTTTGCATAAAAAAAAAAAATTATATCGACATCTCTAAACAAGGATTCTATACAGGTGCAAAACTATCTATCTTGGTCTCCATACAATTATACAAGCGCCAAAATGTTTATACTACTTTCTTTAAATTTACTCAATTTACTCAAATTTATTCCAAATTATTCAAATTTATCCAAACGTTTTTTTTTTTTTTTTTTTTTTTTTTTTTTTTTTTTTTTTTTTTTTTTTTTTTTTTTATTTGTTTTTTTTTTTTTTT